AAGGACACTTGTCCTTCCTGTGGCTTTGAGACAACTCTCCTGTGGATCACTGATGGGCACTGGCCTGCTGCATGTTGAAGCCAGGCAAGAGAGGTATAAGTCCCTGCTGCTAACTAACAACAATACTTAAGAACTACTTAACTAATGCTATCAACCTATTTACAAAAGCCTTAGAGATGAAGCCCACTGAGACAAGAATAAACCACCTACCCCCTTGCTAAACAAGGAAAAGTGCTTCGACTAACCACCAAGTGTGACACCAACCACCAAGTGACTAACCACCAAGTGAGGATGAAGAGCACTGCACAGAAGCACCTCTGCAGAGGGCACCACAGCCAGCCCTACAGATACTACTAAGGTAGAAATCTCCAACAAATGCGCACATGGGCGCATGCAGACTTAAAATGAAATCAACATCACATGAGCAAGCACTTGAAGAACTTTAGTTTGGCCTTTACCAGACTCTGCTCACCTGGCCTGTCACAAGTTTCTAAGGCATTTTAAGATCCAAGCAGATATAGTAATGATAATGACTTCTCTGTCTACCTCATCCACCAAATAACTGTATGAAGCTGGCACAGCGTATTGTTTAAACACACGGATGCATAAGATTCCATGGCCAGAAGGGACTGTTGGGATCCTGTAGTCTGACCCAATGTACAACACAGACCACAGATGAGAACTTCCCCAAAGTCACTTCTAAGCAGATTTTTAAGAAAAACAGACAGACTTAAACACTGTCAGTGATGGAGAATCCGCTTTGATAAGCTGCTCCACTGGTTAATAACCTTCAATGTTAAAAAAGTACACCGCATTTCCAGTTGTCTGAGTTGTCTGGCTTCAACTCGTAGCTCCTGGGTTGGTTTGCGCCTTTCTCTACTAGACTGAAGAGCATTATTAAATATTTGTTCCCCACCTAGGTACTCACAGACTGTAATCAAGTCATCCCTTAGCATTCTCTTTGTTATGTGAAATAAGTCTGATTCTTTCAACTCTAACATCCATGTCCTACTCCATCAACATAGTAGAACTAGTTTTGAAATAACCAGCAAAAGCAGTATAACAACTTTTACAACTAGAGCTCAAGAACCCAATTTAATAAGCTATGCAGTGAGCACATACAAAATAACAATACACAGATCATCACAGGACTACCTATTAAATCTGAAATGTAGGGCATGACCATCACGTTCCAGCAAAAAAGATATTAAATACAATGGCAATTTCTCATTGATTTTCCTATTCTGAGCTTTTCTAACAACAACAACTAAACCCAGAAACTGATGATAAGAAACAAGGGCTATACACATCCAACTTTTAAATGGAGGCAAGAGGGCTTTTTTTTTAAATTAAACTAAAGCAAAAGTACAGAGCCTCTCATATTTGTAAAACAGCTATTTTACAGTCAACAACAACTATATTTTTTCAACCACGCATAATTGTAATTTAATGCCAGGCATGCATACTTAATTGAACACACAGGTCCTTGCTGTGTTAATGTAAGTGAAGATCATTTAATGCCTTCATGTCTCTTTTTAGTTAAATTTGACGCCAACAATGTTGTATTGGTGTAAATGCTAAAAACATGCAAATAGACGATGACATCCTACTGTATACTAATAGTTACAACTTGCCTTTCAGTACCTTCAAGTAGAGGTTTCTTTTCAGTCTCATCCGGGGCTTCTGCACTAGGAAAAATGGTGCATGTTTTCTGCAGTGCCCACAATGGTACAAGCTGAAGTGTGGGCTGAGTGTACTGTCATGTCAGCTAACCCTGCTCAGAGCTGATCAGATGCTAAAAACCATTTGCATGTTTTCCAAGTTCTGATAAGATTTCTACCACTGATACCCTGAAATCGCGGTTTCCCGGTTACCATTGGAGAAGGTCAATGTCTGAGTTTGTTTCTTTCATCTTTGGCTCATTTTTTAATGTTTTATGGGCCACTTAATATTTATTAGTGGCTCCATCTGCTCCTGCACGCGGTGGCATTTCATGTGAGCATTCCGACTTTTTATCTTGTCGAACACCCTACAAGTGGACAGAAAACAAGGGCCAGTTGTTAGTTTTCTTAAGGAGGCTAAACAGAATGGGAGTCCCACATAAAAGCTTTCCCTAGGAAATGAGTAAGAGACCCCCTTTAGTTTTCCTCTTAATTTTAGGGTGTGCAATGCACATGGAAGTGAGAGCCCAACGTACAGTGAGATACAGGTTAGTTTTATGGAAGCTTTTCTGGGCATCTTTGCAATTGCACCTCAGTTCTGACCCACAGCACTGCTTGGTAGTCTCCTCCCACAATCAGTTATGTCATTACAACTCAGTCCCTAGCTGTAATACTTTATCTTCCTTTCCAGTGCAGCTTGAACAAGATCTACAGGTCATGTTGCACTGTGGTAAAAGACACATTTGTTTTGTAATGAAAGCAGACATGGAATTTGACCTCCAAGAAAAAGGAGATGATCACAAATGTGTTGGCAACAGCCAAAGGACCTATTTCTTTTTAGTCATATGATTCTCCCACAACATCAATGGCAGCCATGGAGCTAAACCCCCTACATCTCTTTAACATGCAGGGCTTAGGCTGCAGATAAAATCAGCCATGAATCTACAACAGTGTTTCTCAAAGTGGTCCGCAGAGCCACTCCAAGAAAGCTGCCAATGGGCTGCTACAATTGGTTTATTTACTGGTGCTGTAGCAACCCACTGGCAGCCTTCTCAGAGTAGTTCCGTGGACCACTTTGAGAAACACTGAGCTACACCTTCAGGGTTCATTAATTGAAAGCAACATAAGCAACTTTGGTAAAATATGTTTTTACCTCAAATCATTTTGCCTTTTACAGTTAGAAATAACATCTAACATTACAACGTGAAAGAGATCAGAGGAAGAAAACACTTTCCTCCATCTTTTCTCTTTTTCCCCTTTTTAAAACTTTGCACACAGTTTTGTTGTTTCATTTTTGCCCATTTTCCATTTGTGAGGGTCTTTCATGCTGAAATGGGTGAGAAAAATATTTTTTTTTAAAGTACATGGTCATAAAATCACACAAATTGGCTAAAGAGGTTCAGGGAGAGATGCACCATGCATTTAGCTCATTTTTTAAAATCCTATTTTATATTTTAAAATAACTGGTGCACCTTTCATTAAGAATGTTTTATTTATAAATACAACTGAATTAATTAGACATGTAGAAATCTCTGAACAAAGCAAGATTAACAATATACCCCTACCTTTCGCACTCTTTACATGGAAATGAACCCTGATAGTCTGTGGTCCCAGGCTGGTCCGGCGTTCCCCTCTGACTGCATGCTGGACTATATGTCTTGTGTGATGCTTTTTTGTAATTCTTTGACTTTATCTTCATACCTTGTCTAGGCAGATAGCCATGCATTTTCTTTGGGCTGCACACACTCTGCAAATTATGGAATATTTGTTAAAATAGTAAATTCCACTTATTGACAACAAACCCAAATAAATGGTCATCCATTTCCATCACTATTCTGGATAATCTGTTGTCTCCAGGATGACCAAATCTGCAGATCTTATCATTTGAAAAAAGGAAATTTCAGGTACCCATGAATACATTTTCCTATTCTTCATCATGCCACGGTCACAGATCTGTTGAAAGGCATTTTAATAACTGTGTGCCTCAAGGATCATCCCCTGGGCGTTGAGGTGTAGAGAAGACTTCTGTCACAAGACAGGAAATAACACTGAGTAATACTGGATTACCAATATGCAGAACTTGATGAATTAATGTTTGCTCAGTAGATCTCAGAACAAAAGTTAAGACTGCTCTGCCCAGAGACTGTTAGTGTCCTAAAGGATTTGACTCTAACACTTGACCGAAGGAGGAATATTTATTGAATTTATTTAGAGAATGAATGTTCTAACAGTTCTGAGGACTACTAATCTGAATGAAAGGTACAATGCTGAGTCTGGTTAGAGTAAGCTTCCATCTTCAAATGAAAAACTCATCTCAAAGGCCATCATAAGGCTTACACTAACGGACAGGCGGCCTAATGACACCTGCGAAAGAGTTATCTGTTTTGGTAGAGCTTAAGGAACAGAATGCGGTTCTAAGGTTGAACTTTATGGCTTTGCAAAGTTAGAATAAGGTTAGTGCCCTAAGGAAACATTTAATGTTGGTATTTGTACATAACTTTGTCATCTTCAACATGCTGAGAACATTTTACCACAGAGGTACGACCTTTGGCTTAGGCACAGGTAGGCATCTACGTAGGCAGGGCTATTCCAGGCTGTTTCACTGGCTTAACATGGTAGTTAAAGTGTGGACTTTCCAAGAGTCAGTAGACTAAGTTCAATATGCTGACCTCTCCTTTGGAATCCATGAGCACAATAATCACTTCATCCAACTATTCAGTTACACCATGCCCAGAAGAATCTGCCCAAGCATAGGGTCCGAACATTTCCACATCTGATCTGTCGTGGTGGCACTCTGTGAAGGTGACCTAATTGCTTTCTGTGATGAGATAACTGGCTCTGTGGCTATGGGAAAGCCACTGAGATAAGGCAGAAAAAACTGGCGAACTTGAGGAGGTGAGACATTTTCCTCCTTCCAAGGACTGGTAGGCTTTGTTCCACTCCCAAGCTTCAAGCAGGCTGAAGTACTCATTGTATTGGATCTGTGGATCTCAGCACCAAGAACGGGCTTGGTTCTCATTAACATCTAAGGCTCTTTACACGGCTCTGCAACTTTAAAAGGGCCACAGTGTAAATGAGAATCATGCTCAATGGGACTCTAGTATATTTAAAGTTAAGCTCAGTGCTTTCTCGAACATGGACAGACCCAGACAAGTACTTAAGGTTTTCCTGACCTGGGGCCTAAAGTCTTGTCTACACTTGTTTTTTTGGCACTGCTGCCTGCAGCAGCTCAGCTCCACCAGTGGTACTGGTGTATTCAAGGCAGGGCCAGGCACTGCCGTTTTAAGCATCATGTCATGTGGAGCTGCTTTGAGCAGGGTCAGACAACAATGCCACACATGGAGCCCTATCTATACTAGTGCTCCTATCATTGCTAGCACCAGTAGAGCTGAACCTGTGACAGCCGTTGTGGATAACTGTTGCCAAAAAACCCTGGTTCAGACACCTCTAAAATGCCCTGGCTGCTAGAGTGCATCAGATCCAGGTTCTGAGTGCCTTCTGCAAGGTTAAAAGAACACTTCATTCTTACTGAAGCAACAGGAGGTGAAGGGGGCTCAGCTCGATTGTAGGACTGACCCTATAGCATTACAATTTCCCATCATTGAGTATCTTGGTGAAACCATGACAGACACATACACATCTGAGCCAAAGGCACTGATATCAATGGGGCGCTTTCCATTAATTTCAAATGGCTCTGGATCAAGTCTACTATCCTGATCAACTATCATAGTGATAGGTTAAGATTAGTGGCCACAAACCTCTGCTAGTGTACACTGGCAGAGCGCCATTGAGTGTAATGGAACTGTGCTAATCTACACCAGCAGAGAACACAGCTCCAAGCTTTCTGTTGTCTTCCGCAGGATAAAGGAAACATTTCTATGTTTAGCATTTGGAGTTTTAGGGTTCTATGGGCTTCCCCAGACCCTTCAGATTACCATTTGCTTGGAGTGAAGATACTAAAGCTCCTATAGTCAAGCCATTCCCACAGAATCTCTTTTTCTGCTGCTGTATTGCTGCTAGGGCTGGTATTCATAAAGCATAGATACCAGTGCTGAACATATACTTCTGTCTTACTTACAGACCTAAACTCACAGGAACCAACTTAAAAGGAATACTTTATAA